TAGAATATAACAATTATTAACTAGTCATGGTGATCTTCCTCACCTCGAGAGTATAAATACCAGAATTAAATCCAGATAAGAATGCAGTAAAAAAGAAAAAAGGGGGAAAGAAATTTTGAAATTCTCGAAATAAAGAAAATGTAAAACTAATGTATCAAAAAATTTTGAAATTATAAATTATTCCGATGGTTAGGAAGCTCACCTTGATCACAAGATACCGCATCGCAAACATTACTCTTAATACTTCAAAAACCGGTTTCTGATAAGTTAGCCAGTCAGTGTCAGACACAGTTAGTCTCTTATTGATTTAATTGGTCTTTATTGAGACAGTAATTAAAAAACTAGCGTTAAAAAATTAATCACCAAATCAAGAAAAGGTATCCCCGTGTTATTTGCGCAACATCTCCCGCGCTTGACTCCTACTGCCCTTGTTCTTTCATTGTTTTTTCATTAAAATACGATTATTAAAAAGTTAATAGTTTACGAATTATATTTAACATTTTATGTCAATATGCCAGAATAAAGTGTAAAATATATCGTTAATTATTGGTTTTTTTTATATCACTACATTAATACTTTTATATGCAGAATAATTAGAGGAATCATATTGTGTAAAAAAAATTATACAATTCCATTTGGAAAAGTGGAGGTAACCATCATATCTTTTTGGCGTCTCCACCTAGGAAAAAAACAACATGACCAAAATATGTCCCCCTCGAAATCGTTTCACTTTCATTTGAAAGATTTTTTTATATCATCAAAAATAAACGAGATATTTCAGATGGTCGATTTAAGTGGACCATCCTGAATAAAATTAAAAACTATTCTATTCCCCTTCCTTACGTATTGACTTTTCACGCGAAGCGAATCATCGCTTTGCGTGGAAGTCGTGCGCCCCTGAAGCAGAGAGGAGGTGGAGTGAAAGTCGCTTCGCTTGGAAGTCGTGCGCCCCTAAGCAGGAGGGGATATGGGGTAGGTCGCTTCGCGTAGTTGTGCGCTCCCAAGTAGGGAGGAGGTAGGATGGGAGTCATTTCGCGTGAAAAGTCATAAAATATACTTCAAAGTAAAAAATTTCTGTTTGATATAGTAGAAAAGACACATAATTTTTCTAACTTCTTTTATTAATAACTTTTTAACGAAGGACGAGCGACAGTTGAAATTTGTTGGAGGTCACTCAGGGCCTGGACCTTGACAACATATGTCAAGGTCAGTGTCATCGGAATTGGGTTCTTATTGTCGATATTTATCATCTTTTCTTATAATTCTTCATTATTATCTGTCTGAAATTATTACATTTTTTATCCTTATTTATGTTTCGTTGTAATATGACATATATGATGTGTTTTGTTGTAATATGATATGATGTATGTATGTATGCTTTGTTCTCATATAAAATAATATATCAAAATTATTTTTTATTAATAAATATGAGTGAAGTTAACATACACCGCATACTACGAGGACAAATCAATAAGTACTCGTGTTAGTAATGAAGACGCAAGATTTTCACAAAACTTTTTTTTATTTTTCAACGTAATCCCCTTTTAAGAGGATACACTTTTCCCAATGTTTCTGCCATTTTTTTAATCCCTCCGAAAAATACGATTTGTCGAACTCTGCAAAATAGGCCTCTGTTTCGGCAATGACCTCCTCATTCTACTTCAAGTTTGGAAACAAGAAGAAATCGCAGAGGGCCAAATCCGGAGAGTACGGTGGATGCGGCAGATTTTCCCAATGTTTCTGCCATTTTTTTAATCCCTCCGAAAAATACGATTTGTCGAACTCTGCAAAATAGGCCTCTGTTTCGGCAATGACCTCCTCATTCTACTTCAAGTTTGGAAACAAGAAGAAATCGCAGAGGGCCAAATCCGGAGAGTACGGTGGATGCGGCAGCAATTCATACCGCAATTCGATCAATTTGACTGTAGCGACTGCGGAGGAGTGAGCCGGTGCATTGTCCTGATGGAACAACACTTTTTTTTCGTCAAATGGGGGCGTTTTTTCTTCAATTCAACATCGAATCGGTCCAATAAGTCAGCATAGTACTGCGTGATAGTTTTGCTTTTCCCCAGTCGATGAAGATTACGCCTTGCACATTCCAAAAAACAGTGGCCATCACTTTTCCGGCCGATAGGATCATCTTGGACTTCTTCAGAGCACGTTCGCCGGGTGAAATCCACTGTTTTGACTGTACCTTGGTCTCCGGTGTGTAGTAATGAATCCATGTTTCATCAACGGTATTTATAAATACATTTACTACTCGACGCAAAAACTCCTTCGGATTGCGCTTGAACAGCTCCAAACATTGCTTTGAAATTGATAGCCGCATTCCTCTTATTGTCCACCGGGAGCAATCGCGGCACCCATCGGGCTGACATCCCCAAATTATCATGCAAAATATTGAATGGCATTCCATACGACACTCCTATGGCCTCTGCTACTTCACGCACTTTCGTTCGGCGATCAGCGAGAATCATGTCGTGGACTTTTTCAACGATTTCCTCAGTAACCACGTCTGCCGGATGGCCTGGGCGCTCCTCATCAAAAACAGACGAACGACCACGTTTGAATTCGTTGAACCAATATCTGACGGTTGTCATAGATGGTGAAGGGTTCTCATAGATGGCATCCAACTTCGTTTTTATTTCTTCGCACGTTTTTCCATCCAAAAATAAAAAGCGAATCACGGATCGATATTGTTCTTTTTCCATTGTATCGGAAAACATCAAACACTCTCACTACGAATTGCTGTCAAATCAAAACTATTGCATGAATCACTTTGAAATTTTCTATGGCGTCATTTGAAAGATGGTAGTACACAATGGTAATGCCAACTTGCCATCAGCAACGTCACCTGTCTTCAAACACAGGTACTTATTGATTTGCCCTCGTATTTATTATTTTAAAAATATCGAAATGATATCTTTCACGTCCAACTAGAGCTAAATAAGGGTATTGTGAATAATCCCATGACGCGTACTGCTATATTCGCATCCCAAGTAGAACACAGAAGTCATGAGGACATCATCATGACCTCATTCACTTATAAGTCAATTTTTAGGTATCAAATGACGTCATGATGACGTTCTGTGATATCATTATGACTTAATTATGTTCCGTATTCTACTTGGGATATCGAAGGATCTGACCAATATCGCTGACGTTTCATTTTAACGTCCTCGATTGAAACGTCAGTGATCGGTCGGATCTTCGATACGCGAATACGCGTATATAGCGTATGGAACGGCACCCTGGCATGTCATTTTTATGTCTTCTTATAACGTCATTTTCACGCTTTATTATGACGTTTATAGACTATGAATTATTTCGGTCATTTTCACGTTATTTTTACGTGATTGTTACGTCCAAGCCCCTGGAGATTGG